GACCACATGAAATGGTCTGTCCTGATCTGCAATCGCCAAGATCGGCGATTGCATCAATCTTTGCTTGATACCTTCAAAGGAACGCTGGCACTCAGCGTTCCATGACCACTTGACATTTTTCTTGAGCAAGAAAGAAAGATGAACAGTCATCTCGGCGTAGTTGCGCGAGTACTTGTGCAAGTACGCCGCTAGACCAAGGAACTTCCTTAGTCCCTTGACATCGACTGGCACTGGCCAGTCGATGATCACCTTGATCTTTTCGGGATCAGGGCGTACGCCGTGTTTACCCACGATGCACCCAAGAAGTGGTATTTCGATAGCCGCGAATATACACTTCTTACGGTTGGCGAAAAAGATAATGCTTGCGCATAAGTTGAAGAACCTTACGAACGTGAGTTCTGTGAACTTCAACGTCCGTCTTTCCGTTCATAGCCCAGGTATGGACGAACACATCGTCTAAGTAAATCGGTGCGAAGTCTCGCACCGGTCTCAACAGATTTGTGACACATCTGTTGAATGTTGGAGGGGCATTGCTCAGCCCCTGTGGCATAAATTGCCACTCCCACAGCATCCCGCTCGGGGTTCTAACTGCTGTGAAGGGGATGTCCCGTTCACGCATGAGGATCTGATAGAAGCCATCCATCAGATCCATGGACGAAAAGATGGTACTCTTTGACATACTATCTATGATTTAGTCCTTCCTCGGTATCGGCGTCAAAGCCGGTACCGTTGCAGCATTCAATTTGTTGAATGCGTGCAATATCCGCCATCCTCCTGTGGCCTTCCGCACACAGAAGGTCAGAGAGCTGTGAGGGGATGTTGATTCCCTCACATGGACCGCTGCTAAGCGATAGGCAAAGAACTTGTCGATCGCTAGTACTTGTTCACGAGGCAGTGGCCACTGCTTCATGACACAGTACTTCGAGCCCGTTATAAGCTCGATCTCGTGTCGAGTGCCTTTGTCCTTAGGCAAATCACAAATCACGGATTCAGGTAACACATCCCTGAATTAGATCAAATCCTCATACAAAGGATTTGCCTGGAGCGACTCCCAGGATTGAGACGTGTATCGCTCAATCCGAGTCTTCTCATCGAGGACACTTTCGTCCATCGATGAGCTGCTGAGAAACCGTTCGTTCCCAGCAAATACTGTTGCCGACCGAATATCGGTCACATACTCATCCTCCTTGACGAGTATGCAGATCTGCTTAACTTTGCCACTACGCAGATCACGCAAGAACCGTTTCGGTTCTAGAGTTGGCAACTGAGTTAGCTCCGAAGTTAACTTCGGAGGCACAATCAGATCAAGCGTATAAGCGCCTACGCTTGATCCGTCATTAACCAAGACGTTCAACGTCTCGGTTTCTTTCTGGGAACTTCGTTTTAAAGGTTGCTGAGGGCCTGATCCCTCAGCAAGTGACTCTTGAGGAATTCCTTCCTCAAGTACGTGATGACTTATTCCCTCGACGTCTTTCGACTGTGGCTGTGCAACCACAGTCAGGCACCGATCCTCTACGGTCGACTCTCCAGTCGACCTAGGATTTCCATGTTGCCCTTTGGAGGCAACAGGTTTCTTCTGTCTAAGATGCTGCCCGCTAGGCATGCATCCATGTCCCGGTCCACTCGACTTATTCGAGTGGTGGACCTTCGGCGCAGCCTGTACTTCTGTACAGCCGCCGGGAGCTTGCTCCACAGTGTAGTGATCAACTACACTGTGATCTTGTGCAGTCGTGCTAACGACCTTACCGTACGTGAGGCCATAACACTCACTCGCAGAACATCCACACGCTTGTGGACGCTCCAAGATGTTCATCAGATGGCCATCTAATGAACATGCAGCAGGCATCTTCACGGATCGATGCTGCCAGCTCACCCTTGGCTCGTACTTTCTGAGCCAAGGTAATCCCAGGATGACATCAAATTTGTTATCCAGATCTAGTACGATGAAGTCATCATCGTACTGTTCGCCCTCTAACGTGTAGCGTATTCCTACTAAACGTTTCTCAACGTTAATCGATGCGCCTGTTGCAAGGCGCACCGTCATCCTCGTGAGGGGAATGTCGCGCTCAGCGAACTTGAGCCTACGACCCTCTAGTGACTGGCGTCAAACAAAGTTGTTCGACGCCCCACAGTCTAGTAGGGCACGAAGCGACAAGTCATTCGTCGCTTCCAACTTCAAGGTGATGAGCAAAACGTCATCACCAGGTGCAGAGACACACAATGATTGTGTATCTGGAGCAACTTTCGTCAAGAGATTTGCAAATTCTCTTGAGGTTGCTGGATCAGTAGGGCGCTCCGCCCCTACTGAACCCGACCATTTTTTGATGGTCCGTCTCGCTGTTGCGGCTTCGCAACAGCGCTGGACCCACGCTTATTGCCCTTTCTGGCAAATGGTCGTCCATTTCGCTCTGTACTGTTTGGTACTGGGCGTGGAGCACTACACTTGTATGCGTAGTGCCCTAACTTCTGACAGCGATTGCACCTCTGCAATCGTTTGTTGTTCGAAGAACGAAGTCTCTCGCTCTCAACATAGCAGAGGTCCATTGGTTCTGAACCTCCGATCTTTTGTCGTCATGGTTGACGATAAGAGTTTGAGCTAGCATGAGCCTGTCTCATGCTTAAGTCTTCCTGTTCCGCGGCTGATATCGCATCTTCCAGCGTATTCAGATCAAGGTGGAACAGGTGGATCCTGACGGGCCCTTCTGCGAGCCCTTGCATGAGCACCGTAATCAACGTGTGTTCATGGACTGAGTTAGCAGTTATACTACTCGCAAGGAGTCGTATATGTTGTGCGTAAGCGTGCACATCACGATTACCCTGCTTAAGTTTCATGAGCTCTGAACGAGCCCTGAACTCAGCCCGTGGCGGCTCAAACGTTTGTCTGAGCCGGGACTTGAAGTCATCTAGCGACCTAAACACATTCGGGTCGCTACTCTCGATCCCCAGGGACCAAGTTTTGGCACGCCCTGCCAAGTGGGTCTGAGCAAATGTAGTTTCATTTGCTCATCTTCGACGCGACGAGCCCTTAAGGCTCTGTCGAGTTCGACAAACCATAGTAACAGGGAGTCTTCCGGGACTCCACTGTACTTGGAGATGTCAACTTTCATGACCTCGGGACGACGCGCATGCGCCGTCCCGCCCACAGCAGCATGGAATTGCTGCTGTCTCAATAGCTCTGTCTGTTGAGCACCGAGTTCTCTCAACTACTTGGCCTGTTGAGAGCCTTGCTGGTGAAGCAAGGCTACTTTCTCCCTTTCGGCGACAAGTTCACTTTGAATGAACTTGGCTATAGCGGCATGTTGTTGGTCTCTGTCTAGAGACTCCAACATGGCGCTAATGGCGGTTTCCCCTAAGGTAGAACTCATTCGTTCTACCGCACCCCATTCGATGTACCTCAAATGGGTAAAATCTTCACGCGTAGCGTGAAAGGTCTCTTCATCATCCAACATGTTCATGTTGGATGTTGTGGTCCTTGGAAGGACTACAAAGTGCTACCAGGTGTAACGGGGCACACCCTTGCGTGAACTGAACGCAAGGGTATCAGTGCCCCGACAGACGTACACAAGGCAAGCGAGGAAGCGTAGGATAAGGGAAAAGTAAAACTGTTGTATCAATATAATTAAGTCTTTAAACTACTGTCTCTCTGTTTGACTTAACTTAATTATGCTAATATAACTGAGTGTATGGTGACGTCTCGTCACCACTCATTGCGCGCGTCTTGCAGCGATTGGTGGGTTGATATCATCAAGATATCAACCAATGAACAGACTCTTCGGTCGACCCTTCAATATCACCACCTTGGTGACATTGTTCAAAGAATATTCAACTTAATATTCTTTATTGTCACTTTCTTTAAAGTGACAATTCCATGTAACGGGCTGCCCCGTTACACGAACTCCCTCTGCTCTCGTGTGAACGGAGATTTCAAGGAGCATGTCCACACAGCTCTCGTTGTACATCAGCAAATACTGTGTGCAGCAATTGCTTGGTACCCCGTAACACACATAACTTCGCGGAGCCGACGGAAGCCCGGAAAACCGCTATCTACAGTCGACCTCATCACGTATTGTAGGACAAAATTTCTTATGTTTTCATTCATAATGACTTGTCTGTGTGTGCACACTTACACTATCTGCGAAGCATGCTGATTCGATGGTGCTCACATCACCTGTCCGTAATTGCGCTCATGTTGTCCTTCACGTTGAATATAGACTGCATTTGGTTTCTTCACGATACAGAAGCAGGTTAAGAAGAGATGTGTTTCCCCTTTTGACACCTTTGCTCAGCATTTTCATATCTTCTCGTTGCTGCAGTAAGTACAGGCTATTCTACGTGCATTCGTGTAGCATTCGGTTGTAATGGACGCTGTGACTCCTCAGAGCCTTCCGAGTATATCTTATGCGATACGAAACGATCGTTTGGCTGCGTCCATCAATGGGATCATTCTACAACCACAACTTCGTCTGGCATGCTCGCTATCCAAGCTGACTAATTGTGTAACGCATGATATACTGCCAAATAGGAAACGCGGGGTTCTGAGAATTTGCAGCTGTAAAGTCAGCTTATAACCAGATACTCCTGATACCGCTTGGTCACAAAACGACCGTGCCAGCTCGCTACATGGATCTGCATCTTACTGTTTCTACGTATCAAGTCTTGCCCAAATCCGTGCTGCGCCTGACCCAAGTTGATTGTGCTCTTGCAGCCGTTGTGGTGTTTATTTACCACTGTGGAAATAGTCAGCACTCACGAAGACGGTATCACAAAAATACCGGTAGCCCCTCCAGGTGGGACGTTTTTTTCTTTTCGGGCAAAAAGCGCACAGTTTTCCCGAATCCGCCTCGATATGAGACGCTCTGTGGGCACAAGTGGACAAAGTGCAGGCTCTTTTTCTGCGCTGCAGTTCCGGCTCTCTTCGGGCCTGTGCGTCCAAAAAGAGCGCTCAATTACCGACTCGTGCTGAACTACTGCCCCACTACGTGAACCGCTCGCCCAAAGCGATGCGGTCTATTGTCGCGCTGCTTGCGTTCAGCTACTTGCTCTCTGCACAAGGTACGCACGTTGGTGACCGTAGTGGCCGGTCTTGTCCTAACGCGATGAATCTCGCTGTGCTATTTGTGTTGTTGTTTGTTTGGGAATGACACAGCGAAAACTGCAACGGAGTTTGCAAGTCTCGAGACCTTCAAGACGAAAGGAGGCGGTCAACACCTGCTGAGAGAGTCCGTGGGTCCGGCACAATGGAAAGGGCAATACACACCGGGAGAAGTGACTGTAGCGGGGGCCGGCGAGTCTGCTCCCGGCGTCTGGCCCCTGTCGGAAGGGACAGTGGTGCGCCATCGACCAAAAATCGTGAGCTCGACCAAGTCATTTGATGGCGGCATGAAGACGTTCAAGCGCGGCAACGTGCAGTTCGAATCCGGATCGAAAATGGCTCGAGAGAACGCTGTGTTTGTCGTGCAAGCCGGTGGCGTGCTTCGCAATGTGATTATCGCTGGAGGGGGTGGCGTCTTCTGCGAGACGCACAATTGTGTACTGGTGAACGTGTGGTTCAAGGACTCGCTTCAGGGAGCTCTCCACATTCACTCGGGTACAGGCCTTACTACTGTTACAGGTGGAGGGGCCAAAAATGTAGCGGGCTCCATCATCTTTGGTCAGGCTTCGGGTACGGTTGTTGTGAGCGGCGGCTTTTACATGGAAAACTCGGGCAGGCTGTTTGAGTCGTGCGGCACGTGTGGTCCCGTTACGCGCAAAATTGTCGTGGACGGAGTGGTGAGCGTGAATCCGACAGCTGAGCTCATTCGTGTGAACAGCAACTACAAAGACAGGGGAACCATTTACAGTGCTACCATCACCACGACGAATGCCAACTACCCTTTGTGCACGCGCTACAATGGAGGCGCCGTCCCCCAGAAGCTGGGAGTCGGAGCTGCTCCTCCCGTATGCTCGTTCAGCCGATCTGATGTGAGAATTAAACCTGCGAAGCGAGCAGTGTGATACCAACGGAAGTGTCGAGTGGCCAAGTGCTACGGTAAGGGTGAGTTGCTTTGCGTTATTGCGTTTTTCGGCTTTGCAAAAAGCGTCGGTGAGATTTGTTCAGCATGGCATGTGTAGTAGTCGAAAGGAAGACGAGCTACTCCTGCTCATATCCGCCGTACACTAAGGAAGAGTATGACTTGCTCTCATCGGTTGAACAGATAGATGTCATACGCGAAAGATATATAGTTTGAACGTATGAGCGTCACATGTTGATTGAAAAGGTCTTGTCTAGCGCACGCACACAACAACTTCACGCCAGGCGCAACGACTATTGCCTTGTTTACCACGCGTAGCGCATGTACATATGTCGAGCTTTCTCGCTACAAGGACAACCTCACTCGCGTCAAACTCGCAGTAGCAAAGCTCAAGATCACACCCTCGCTCCTTCAGCTGTGCGGCAAACTCAGCTCGCAGTCTTCTCTGCAGCCACGAATGCCTGAAGGGCGTTCTCATCACCACGACAACGTTTAACTTGGTCAAGTTGTGGTATTTAACGTCGACGTTTGACGACTTCTACTTAGTCCGCTTTCCTCCAGGACTGCCAAGTGCTGACGTCCGTTGCGAGAATGCTTCGAACTGGCAACTGGTGCTCACTTCCACTGGATCCAATCTCTTCTGTTCCTTCCCCTGCAAACACAAGCACTGAACTTGCGGAGGCCTCCGCACCGCAGGTGTGCAACAAGGCAGGATCCATAATTACAGGAAGGATAGCAGATGAAGCCACTGATAGACATCGAGAGTTCTCTTTGTTGGAATAGCATTCTCGTATGAAGCAACGTGCGACAAGCTTCCGAGTGGAAGACTCAATTGCCATAGATTTAAGCCGCTCAGTCCAACGCGTGCCGTTGCTACAACATTCACGCAGCTGTTCAATGGCTTCTACTCTGTCGTTTATGAGTCAGCAGTGCTAGCCACGGATGGTATTGCAGCGACAAGAAGGTCGACTCCTTTACACCACCACAAAAGTAAAGGCGATAGGTCAAAGTGAAAAAAAAGAGATGAGTAAAACAGCAAACGGGTCGGCATGAATAAGCAGGCGGCAAAGCGCAGGCTTTTACGATACACATCGGTCATTACAGTACGAGTGGTAAGAAGATCGCTCGAACGGGCGTCACAGACCGCTTAAGATCGTCAGCGTTGGACAAATAGGAATCAATGCTTCATTGCGATTGTTCGCCCAGATGTGTGGTGCCTTATGATGACACGGTATGAGGTAAAATGCGTAACCTGCAGAGGCGTGCGTGGTGCAATACTACGCCAGGACGACGTATCGGTCCAAAAGGCACATTCGATCGTAAAAATAACGCATCCCGCCGTCGCAACGACCACATCGATCGACTGCTTCCCGCTAGAGCAAAGGCGTCCACGGGCACTTTTTTCCTCGAAGACGAGGTACAGTGCGGACTTGGAAGCTCCTAAAAGCTATCGTGGCGTCGAAGTTGATCATAAAAATGCAGCGTGAGAAAAACACAGCGACGTCGTGAATGCCTCGATGAAGCTTAGCACGCTTTCGCACTGGTCTTAGAAGCGGCGTCTACTTCGGACGCGTTGCCCGCAAAGGTTCCAGACTTGTCGCAACGAAGGAGAAGCGCAGGCAGACGAATGATCGACCTATGCTCGATTCAAAGAGACGGCTATCGCCCGCTTCGATGAAGGAGTCTCGGGGCGCGGCTCTATTGCTCTACTGCCCTATTGTTGTGTCGACAGCGAGACAAGCGCATGGTGGCTGCCATCTGTATTCGGTTTAGAGTCGCCCGACGGACAGACGATGCGCTCGCGTCTCTTCGAGATCCCGAAATAACTTACCGAGTTCGATATCCCGTCATCGTTTCGCGAACCTGTGTACGATCATACTTGATGTGGTCAACACATTCGACGCCACCAGTCACTTACGGCCTCCTTGGCCACCAAAGTTCTCGACCGTCATGCGCGTGCTGCAGCGTCTGCACAGTCCACACGCTCAGTACCGACAGCGTCTGCAGCTGCTGTATTTCCGCGCCTTTACTAGCGACACGCTGGATCCGTTCAAGCACCCAGTGCTTGCAACGACATCGTCTACAAACGCCATTTCCTCAGACACCTCTTCGTCACCCGCCCGCAGCGCGTTGAATGGCTCTACGAATGGCTACACTTCACCCAGCATGCCAAACGAGACAATGCAGTTCTTGACTTCATACGAAGACGAGGAGCAGCTGGCACAGCAGCAGCAGCAGGACCTTGAGTTCACTGCACAGCGTATTGGCTTCCCCCTGAGCGAGACGGAGCTAAAAGAACGCACCGAGTTTCAAGTACAGCAGCAGCTCGACCAAACCGACGGGATTCGAGAGGAATCGCGCGAAGAAGCGACGGCCAAAGCCGAGCGGATCATGGCTGTGCTGCGTCACTCCATGTCGGAGCTGGAGATTGGCAAAGTTATTCACCGCATTGCTCAATATGCCACGCTCCCTCGTGTCACGGGTCTCTCGAGGAAGCAGTTTCTACGGTCGCTCGAGACGAGATTTGGAGCAAACAACACGAGAGAACTTGGCTACATGCTTGCTTTCCTACAGGGTCGTGACGATGTTATCGACCAGCTGGAGGTTGACTCACGAATGGGGGACGACCACGCTCATGAGACAGAAAAAGATCCGACAGCACGTGCTACTGCGAAGACGACGGACGATTTTGTCGTGCCCAAGATCATGGGTCTGCACCCGGACTTAGTAGCTGACCCTCAGTTTGTAAGCATTGTGTTTTGCTACTGCCGACTGGCGTGTCTAAATTCGCTGAAGCTCATGCAACGACCAGCAGCAGGCTTTAGTCGGGGACCTAAGTCGAGTTTGTGGCAGGTCAAGGCAGATTTCCGAAAGGTGCTGGACATGGAAGGATTCTCGCATTACGCCGACATGCTGGGACTGGAGAAATATACAATGAAGGACGAAGACGAGCACACTGATGCGCTGGATGCCGAATGGGAAGAGTTTAACTTGGAAAACGACCGTATTGACTTTCGCATGCTCCTGTCTCAGACCCAAAGTATTGTCGATTTCATGAAAAGTGAGCTACCCAGTGAGACGATATTGAAAATGCTCGTGGCGATGCTGGCGTCGGTCAAGACATCAAAATTGCACCGCAAGATCTTTCAGGAAATGGTGTGCAATGTCCAGACTGCGTTCCCCGAGACGTTCCACGAGCAACTACTATCAGAGCTCGTGCCTTTTCTTTCCGGTGACAATGCCACATACGAGGACTTCGACTCGAAAGTTGCGACCACTGCCCTACAGCACCATCAGATGCGAAACGAAGCTATCATTCGCGCTCTGCTAGAGACACGAATGCGTGTTGGCCACATTCTTATTCACGACATCGACGACGTGGAGCCTGCCCATTCGATCCCGAAGAAGCTGACCCCCGAACAACATGAGAAGGTGATTACCACGGCTTGGAATATTGTGTCTGTTCTGGATGACCGTAAGTATCACATGTTTTTCACTCGCTTTCTCAAGTACAAGCTTGCATGGCGGCCGAATCGCACAACCTTTGGCGAAACATTCCTTTCGGATGTGCGGAAGACCCTAGGATCTCGCGATGCAGACGCTATTATGCCTATGTTTGAAGAAGTGTGCCAGCAGCTATCAGTGGAGACGTTAACGATCTGTCGTGTGAAGCTTCGTCACTCTGGAAAGCTGCTACGAGGTCGAGGTGCGCTAGAGCCGTTGAATGAAGCTGGACGTGAGCGTCTCGAGACCGCATGGCAACCCTCGCGTTGCGCGTTCTACCGCAACTTACCACACGGCGTAACAAAAAAGCATTTGGAAAACGCTCTTGCTCACGTGGGAGGCGTCAAGCGGTATTTCATGTTCTCCGACCCCATCAACGGCCCACCAGAGTCATTGTTGGATGAAGAGGATGAAGAATTTGTTGACGAAGAGGAGCAAGAGAGCGAACCTGACGCTACCGACGACGAGGAGGAAGGCGTAAAGAAGACGAAAAAGAAGAAGTCAACAAAGGCGCAGCTGAATGACATGAAAGGGCTGAAAATGCCTAAGCACAAGCGAAAAATTGTCGCGAGTGATAAGAAGACGCCGTATCAAGCTGTTGTTGAATTTGAGTCCGAGCGTGCGCGCCGCATGGCGACAATGCGCGCGTTACAAATCTTTGGCGTGATGATGTCAGGCTGGAACGAGTACCGACCGGTGTTCTCATCGCCAGCAGACGGACGCTCTAGTATCGCTATTATCGACGTGCCTTATGGCACTAAGGTTGGCGAGCTTGTAGATGATGTGAACAGGATCCTTTCCAAGGCTGGTCTGAATATGAAAGTGTCTGGCCTAGTTCCGCGAGGTGTTATGCTGACAAATGGTCGTTTGGATTTGCGCTTTCCGTCGTTTGTGGAGGCCGCCCAAGTCGTGGACCTGCTGAACGCATATGTTAGCAGGATGAAGAGACGTCGGGCCCTTTCGAAAAAAGATATGTATCGCTTTAACGAGTATGTGAAGCTCAAGAAGAGGAAGAAATTGAAGGAAAAAACCGCAGAGAAGGAGCGAAAGAAGGAGGAAGAAGAGCAGCTAGCACGAGAAGAGGAAGGCGACGTTCACGATGACGAGGATCTCCTGTGTTTCGGTGTCGATGAGGATGAGGACGAAGATGAGATAGAATTGGACGATGAGGTTGACTGCGACAACGACTGTGAGGACGAAGTGGACGATGAAGATGACGACACCGAGCATGACGAGAGGGCGGGCGTCAAGTCGAAAAAGAAGTACGCGCTCGTGGTGTCGGAAACCTTGGAGGAATACTTTGCCGAGTGGTTGGAGGCTGAGGCGAATATGACGGAGGAGGATTTGGCACTCAGCAAAGTGCCTCGTCCATTTGATGTCACGTGGACCCCAATCGCGAAGCCTAAGAACAAACACTTGTACCTTTAGACCTGCTGACTCGCTATAGCTACACAGGTGCTAATGGTGATAAACGTCGCAAGCGTTTTCCAGCACTGCAACAGTCGAGGGAAGTACGACGTGGACCGATGGCGTACCGCACTTTGTATTGTGAATAAATTCTAGACGCACGAACTCCTTTTTTGCTCATTTATTGCTATGCACGCAATTCGCGCACTCGGTATCGCATGTCAGCGTCAAGAAGAGCTCTACGTGATGTGAAGCTACTGATTGTGACCGGTCGCATTGCTGAAGTGACGACAAGTGGTCCAGCCATATGTCCGAGAAACAATTTTCACAATGTACGGCTCTGACTACCATTCAACTACGCAGTTTCCCTATTCCGCACCATTTACCACACCTTTTCTCCTCTTTTCTTGTTCATCACGCTTCTTCTTCATGTATTGCTCGATCGTGTTTACTTCTCGAACTCATAACAAGCAAACTATGGCCACCATAAGCGTCGTCAACAGCAGCATAAAGTGAAGGATCATGGCTGGCCTCTGATTCTTGCATAATGACCAGGCGCATGATAATCGCGATGGTTGTCCGACCAACAATCTTTTCACCGGAATCTGGCAGACAAGTGTTACTTTACTTAAGCGATGCGATACTTGTGCGTTCTACCACTAGACAATGCTTCACCTTCACTACTCCTGCTACTGTCGTCATCACCACAGCTACTTTTGTCATCAGAAAATTGATTTTCCGTCTCCAGGAATACGCCGTCAGCGATTCAGCTTGACTCGGTGATCACGCAGGCAACGATGGAGGTAGCAGTCGCAGTTCCACACACAATCGATACCTTGTCCCTTCCAGCGCATTGGTTGACGGCGTTGGTCGTTGACACACTGTTGGTCCCCATATATCACCTTGAGCTACAGTGCTTCAGCCACTGTCTGCATGAACTCCACCATAGTTCAACGCCTTATTCGATGGTCTGCCTCGCGATCACTAGAGTTGACACAGACGTGCAGCACAGAAACTGGCGGTGTTGTCCCAATATCGACCATAGCTGCTCTGAAGGCTGCGCAGTATTGTCTACCGATGTCGTGTTTGACATTTGATTGCAAGCATGGGCCAAATGTTCATCCATACGCATTCGGCCTCGCCCACGTCACGCTGAAACCGGCCCGTCAAGGTGTTTTGCCTGCACAGGGTATCCTGTGGTATTTCCTACTTGCTCAAGCGCCAAGAAGCACTACGTCAACCAGCACGTCGCTTGTTCCTCGGTCCAGTGACCAGCAATTGTGTCGTATAGCGCTGCGATGCAGGCACAGTCCCCAAACATTCCGTGACCGTAGTAGTTGGTTGCTTTTCGACCGACTGGACCTCTGTAAACAAACTCGACAGGATGCGTAACCATGCAAAACACAGGACGCAGACTGAGAGCTTGGACAGGACCCTTCGTGTGCATCCAAACTCGTTATATTTATGTGTTAGGTCATACATTTGTTTGTACACAGGTCACAATGGTCCACATCACTTTTGAGGCCGCATTCACATTAGGCGTCGCGATCCGTCACTTGGGTAGAGAAGTACGACAAGGTCATAAAATGGACCGGTCAGTTGACCGCGCCACGTGACAACGGTTGGTCATTACCATCGCAGCCTCTTGACGACGTCGCGTGTGCCAGCCAACTCTTCCGATATACACGTCCAGCACTCGACTTTGCCGATAAATTGTCCCGTCAAAAGAGCAGTAGATCCTTGAGGATGCGATCGGAGACCGTGGCGGTTCGAGCTTCGGTTCCCAAGCGCACACTGTCGTCAAAAGCGTGCGCGAATCGTTTGTCACGAGCCATCATGCTCTCCAACAGCAAATTCGACTCGGCGTAGCGCCGAATCAGGTGCTCGCAAAAACTGTCGTATTTTTTGTTATCTTTGTAAATGAGCCGCCCCGTTGCGTAGCTGGCCGTGCGGTAGGCCTCCACGAACGTGCCCGCAACGCCGTCTTGAACTTTCGGTCGGAAAACCACCCACCGCTTAAAGAGCCACGGTAACGTGTTCTCGTCTTGGAAATCACGCTCTTCGAGCACACTCTGTTGGCAGATGATGGCTCGACGTTCACCCGACATATACCGTCGACATACAATGCTATTGTAGCTGACATTCGGCACCCCGTGCACATTCAGCGACCACTTGCCAGTTGTCTTAGAGTGGACGTGGGCGACATCCTTCTCCAGCGGGGTCACCACAACATAGTGCTTCTTTGCGTGCTTGATCGAGATTTTCTGAGCCACGTTGGTTTCCCAGCAAAAGTCAAACATGTCATCGACGTTGCAAGGGAAAAACTTCTGGTTGTGGATCGTGTAGCTCTTCTCTGTTATAGCAAGACGCAATTGCCAGCCGTCCAATTCGATCGGGAGACACGAGATCACGTCGGGTGCAAAGCTGTTGCTCTCCGAGCTGATGTTGACAAGCACAAACGACGAAATATGGAGCAATTCCTTCTTGCGCTCGTCGCTGAGCGAGTATCGGGTCGACGGGTCGATCGTGCGCACGCGATGAGCGTCGTCCGTTTCAATGTAATTCAACAAGTCGCTGCCGTGAGTCCCATCCGAGTCTGCTTCACTGTGCTCATCGATTCTGCACGAAAGCAACTCGGAGCGAAATGCCACGGGCGTTGCCGCTGGATCCATTCGCATGCCCGAGCTCATCTTCGCTACTTTCTGCACACTGTCTTGCACAAAGTGCGCGAGCCGCGTGGCGCGCTGCTGCTGCGACATGTCTCGCTGCAAAAACTTGACTTGGTCCATCAATGCCGCGTGGAGCTCCTGAACATGCGTGCGGAGGAATTGCAGCTCGAGTTTCTGCTTCTTCCGGCATCGTCGAGACGCCGCGTTGATCTTCAGTTGGCGTTCCCGCGACACTTTGGTTTTCCGTGTACGCAACGACGTCGTCTCGTGTCCCTCGCCGTCGTCCTTCATCTTTTCTTTCTCGTGCCCCGTCTGTTCCCCTGGCAAAGCAGTGGCCACTCTCGTCGCGGCACTCGACTCGGGTCGGGTCCGTACCGACTGGTCAACCAGACCTTCCGAGGCCACCAAAAGCGGCGGCGGCGGTGGCGGCTCGGCACGCATGGCCAGCATTGACGTCGCTACAGCCGCTGCACTGGGCGACGTCGTGTCCCTCGTAGCCATATGGTCGTCACTGCGCGTCCTGGGCGGCCGCGTGTCCGTCTGGTTTTCCGAAGACGACTCAAGAGACGACGACGAGAGAGGGGGACGAGGGGCGTGGGACGAGGGCGACGGGCCGTACGCCTCGTCGAGGCCCGTGCCAACGAGTTCGTCCATCGCGTTGATGGGCGACGTCGGAGGACTCGAAGGAGGAGCGGGCGCCCAGCGCTGGTGGGGCGACGGGGCAAAGGCCGCGCAGAGCTCGTCGTCCTCTCGAACGCGGGGTGGGGTCGGCCCGACGTCCAAGTGGCTGTACTTCATTTGTCGCGCGCACGAGGGACGACGACGAGGGGGGGCGAAGGAGGGACGGAGGGGTGGACACTCTGGCACAAACGGGACGGGCGAGCGGACGTGTCGAGACACTTGCGCTACCGGTTTTCAAGTACCGTTTGGGACTGACGCCAATCGCGGGCGCAGATTTGCAAGTGGCGAGTGACGAGACCTTTTCCGTCGAGCTGCGAGTGGTCGGAAAGAGCGTCCCGCTCGTTCGTCGGTCGGTGCCTCGCAGAGCTGCTACTAGAAATCGAGCTGCCGGCTCTCTTGCTGCTGCTCGCGGAGCAAGGAGACTGCTTTGAGCCCTGCTATGACAACTACAAGAGCTGGTGGAGCACGAGCTCGGACAGTTTGCCCTGCCAAACAAAGGTGTCAAGGGACGTTTGGAACCGCGGGTCCGCGTCGTGGATGTTGTGGCGACGTCGCTGCAAGTATCTTGGAAAGATTCTTTCCACACGACCTCTCGGGCTCGCAAGCGCAGAAATGCACAGATGTTCGTTGCGAACGGCTGAAAGAACTCGGTTGTGACACGTCCGCCATCGAGCCTTCGGTTTGAATTCGCTGGTGTCCACAGTGATGCACCGGATCGGACGCGCTGGACACTCTATGCGTCGTACACACCGATAGCATTGCTTCGTCGCCGAGGTCTTGAGTCTCGTGCGTAGTATCGCATCGGCCTTGTGGTTTCTCCATCGCCTTCGGTGTTAAGGCGCCTAGAGTATCTTTACTTGTGCTGGGAATTGGACCCGAGTTGGGCCCGCACGGCTTCAACGTACTTCGCTGGGATCGCTTAATGGACTCTAGCAAATATCATGCACAAAGACCGTATGATTGACCTGCACGATGAGTGCCTGTGCTCGAGGAAGTTGTGGAGTGTGTCAGTGTCAGAACAACAACGAGAACGGCTTCAGTGATACATCTGGACCGGTGCCACGTGTGTAACAGTGTTTAGCCGTCGGTTGTCGCAACCGTTGATTATTGTGATTGACAGTAATCAGACGAACCGATTATTAGATTCTAGAAGTGAATCTAGTTGGCGCTGATCGTATAAACTCCGAGAGGAGGGGGCTTCGCAGCCAGGGAATTCACATTCAATTAACTCGTGATGGGTCTACTAGGTGTAGGGTTTGATATCCATTCATTTTGGACACACTAAGTTCTGGCCTACGAGATAGCAAACTCATCCGCAGGTTTTCGTAGATGACAATTTCGGCAAATGTAGCGAAATCATGTAAACTTCGTGAACAAGAAGAGCACGACTCTATGCAAAGCAACTATATATACCTAATTGAGAAGAGCACGACTCTATGCAAAGCAACTGATTCTTGCGCTCTTTGCGCTGCTCAACCTCCGAGAGATTGGTACAGCTCAAAGGGTAAGAAGTCTCTCTGAGTCCACACCCTTCAGCTCTGATGTGACGAGACTCTTGGCATTTGATATAACTTTTTATTGCAAATGTAGATGGTTCCGATGTGTAAGGACTTACAATAATTGTCGGACGCACGAGGAGTAAGTTTAGTTCTAGTGGTCCCTTGACATCAATACCGGTTGGCTGAGTACTAAAAATACCATTGAGTCGGCCAGGCATGTCATCTGGCACTGGAAAGGTCCACCATTTTATCGTCGCTCTGTCCGAGCAGCCGTAGAATACCTGTGGTCACTGAGCGAACGTGGTTTATTGCAAACAGAAACGACGTGGGTGTTCACGTGGCCAGTTTAGCAGCGGCTCACTTACATGCTAGGCGAAGCCACAAACGTCCTACCTTTGTCTTTATGGACCGACCATGCGTTTCGTTTGGAGAAGCCACCCGAAGTGTAATCAGACGTTCAATCATTCACGACAATGTGGCATATCTGTTTGTTGTACGGGTCGAGTCGGTATCTGCAATGTAGTATGGGACTCGTCTGACTTCATTTGGTGTGGCAGGGCACCTTTCGCACGCACATGTGAAAGTGCAAGCAATCTTTGACAATCTGGCCTGATGCGCCAACAATATTTATTCTGCTTGAGCAAACTTGCGATACAGTACTATTGCACGAAATATTGTTGCCTACGCGCCCACTGGAATGGGCCACACTTCTTACCAGGTGGCTGGTACGCCCTTGTGCCGACAGCACAATGGTGTGTGCTCCCGAAACTTCACGTAGATCGTACGTGCAGAGGAAGTGAAGAATCTAAGCAAGAAACTGATCTGTATGAGGAAATAGTACAACTGTATACTCTTCTGGTTAAGCCGCTTCAACAAACCTTCTTTCTCTTCCTTACACGATGTCAAGCTACATACTCCAATGTAGGTTCTTGCTCACCACCCATTGCGCGCATCCAGCAGCGATTGGCGGTTCATTCGGTTGAGATTATGGCCTATGTCAACCAATAGTGGAGTGGTACCGAATATTACCTCTATAGGTAATATTCAAACAGCATTGACCCCCTAGAGTAATATTTGAACAATATTGACTCGCTCGGGTAAAATGGTAAAATTATCGTCACTTGCGATATTATTCACATTGAGAGAGAGAGAGATTTCATGACTGTCTATTAACACGTGATTATGTACAAGATGTCTAAAAGCTCCTAAGCCAGGAAATCAAGTCCGGATCCGGAAGAGTTTCGTGGCTATGACCCAGAGAAACCTCGATGTCTCGAGGTGCTTGGGTAAAAAGTTCGATGCCGGCGTGCAAGAGAGCCCCTTGCACGACAGTACTAATACCGCGATGTTCACGTTTGGCCAGCGCTAGGAGTTGGCGTATCCCTGACTCCCAAAAACGGGTTACACTTTGCGATGTCGTAGTCAGGACTCCCCTGAATACCGCATCGTTTCGCTCCTGCCATAAGTGGGTGAGGCACATGGTACTCATGAGAAACCAAATCCGTTTCCAGACGTGGACTCCTGCCTCGACGTCTTCCATGAACCGTTTGAGCAACCGTTGTCTCAACCGTGGTGAGATAGCTGGGGCTTGACGATTGGCACTGCCAAGATATTGGCAAGTACCAAATCGGTCTGCCGCAGTTTCACCGGTCCAATGACCGATTAATTTTGCCCAACACGCACGCGCCTTCGGGCAATCCCAGAATATATGGGCCTGTGTTTCTTGAATCCCTCGACATGCTTGATGTACGCGACAACTATTGTCGTCTTTGCGATTTTCATGGTAAAGGTTGAGTTGCATGGTTGCTATACGATAGCAAGTCCACACCTGGTATTATGTGAGCCCATGTGCATGGTCCCAAACTTGAGACGGACGCTGGTGCGCTACAGCTCGCTGCCATGTGTCCGTTCTGGTGGCAGCTTCCAGACGCTGCAGCAGTGGACGTAATGCCACAGAAAGCTGACGTTTGTGAAGCTTAAATGACAGACGGGAGAGTGTTGTGCGAATGGATGCATTTGGCACCTCATCTGTGACCGCCCATGGAAATCGATGATGTCGAGGATGAGCGTTAAACACTACGCCGTGCTGCTGGAGTTGTTCAAGCCATGTTGCCCTTTCCACTTCACGATCCGTCGCTAGTTCAGGAAGCCTTGTTGTAAAGAACCAACGAAACCCGTCGGCCGCCTGCGTCAGGTGAACCTGAGCTTCCTCTAGAACCTTGTGTCCCCTTCTCACTCCAGATATGCGACCCCGGCTTTCGGACGACCAGTCATTGTCATACCGAAAAGGAGGAGCGTGCCGAAGTGTCAACTGAGGCTGGAGCGCTAAATCAGTTCCAATCCGAAAAGGTGGGGATGCCAGTAATATCGCAGTTGCCCATCGTCGTAGCTTGGAATGCGAATGATTGGTGACGTGCTGTCCGGACAGTGGTATGCTGAAAACAAACTCGGACGGCCCCGTCCGTCTAATACGCAAGTCCGAGATGGTGCATGGTACGATCCGGTCATACGTATGGCCGAGCAACTGCCTGCCCCGTGCATCCCGGATATATGGATTCTTGCTCCATCCAAGCGTCCCCCAAAATTGATGAATAGATTTCAAGTGGGGATCCGTGTGTGCTAATGCTTCAGGGAAAGTCGAGTATTACGACAGAACCCATTCATCCTCTTCCCACCAGCTTCCTGCACCGGCGAGTAGAGTTGGTGTGTACGCACGTACCCGGTCTCCAAACAGGCTTAATTGGTCGTCTGTAGGCTCCAGGAGCCTGTCGATGTCCGCTATGAATGAGGTTTTGGCCGGCTTTGACAAAGAGGTTGACCACCCCCCTGACCGCGGCCGTTCGTGCAAAACAAGTGCTGAAGTATTCGGCTGACCCTGATAAGCCCAAAAACGCCACGCTCCAAAATACTTGTCGTGAGCTTGCGTGAGCCACCGGAGAGCGTGTTTAGTACGCTGTGTCTTAATAGCAACCTCGACCGAGACGAGCCCCACTCCCCCGGCCTTAGTCGGAGTAAAGAGGAGACCCGGATTGATCTTGTGACGACCCGCTTCTGTGGTGGTTGCGTGTGCCCACAGAAATTGTTTATACAAATTGTGTACGTCCCTGATCGCCCAGTCAGGAATTTCGAAAACCGCAGCCGTGAACAGGATTGCTGGTAGGATAATAGAATTTAAGACCATCACTCGATTTTCCCCGCTTGAAGCAATCGTGGAAGCCGTGAACAATCGTCGTTGAAGCTTCCTGATGCGAAGCGCCCAATTACGATGTTGTAGGTCGCCTGTACCTACTTCATAGCCTAAGTACCGCACTGTGTCCACAGGTTGAAGTACTGATATGCCACAGAACGTCTGTAAGCGCACCCCTTTGTTGAGAAAAATCAGCTTACTCTTGGCCGGCTGAGCGACCAGCCCAGACAAATTTCCAAAATTAGAAACGACCCCGAGCGCCTGGTCAAGCTGACACGCTTTGTCCAGAAAAATCGTCGAGTCATCCACAAACGCTGAAAACGTGTGCCGACCCCCTGTGCCCCCTGGTACTGGAAGCCCTCGCAAGACGGGCGATTGTTGTATCGCGATGCCCAGTATCTCCGCTACGATTAGAAAAAGCAAAGGGGCGA